CCCTTGAATGTTTTTAAGCAGAGGTTGGATGGTCATCTGTCATGGATGCTTTATTTGAGATTCCTGCATTGCAGGGAGTTTGGTGACCCTTCCAACTCTACAATTCTATGACTGCAATTTCCACTGGAAAGGGTTATAGCTCAGTGGCAGAGAATGTGCTTTGGATGTAAAATATCCCAGGTTCAATTCCTGGTATCTCCAGAGAGGGCTGGGAATGTCCCATCTGAAACTCTGGAGATCTGCTGCCAGTCAGAATAGACACTACAGAGCTGAAGGCTTGATTCTGTATAAGGCAGCTTCCTCTCAAAGTCTAAAGAAGAAAAGATTCTCAAGAACTCAGTGGAGGAAGTCTCTAATCTAAAACAAAATTTTAAGACTTGCGTGTTGAATAATTTGAATACACACATTTAAAGGATTTGGTTCTCTCTCCATGAAGGAAATATCTACTGCCTATTTTTTTAAAAAAACAAAGTGTGAGATGCTCTACTAGCTACAGATGAGATGCTAGATTTTTAATAATTCATGCTACCAATATTCAAATTTTAAGCGAAGGTTTGAAAATTGGTGACAGATGGTTATATAAAAGAAACCTACTTGGGACATACTAAGAAACACTCCTTCCACAAGAAGAAGAGTTTGGATTTGATATCCCACTTTATCACTCCCCTTCAGGAGTCTCAAAGCGGCTAACATTCTCCTTTCCCTACCTCCCCCACAACAAACACTCTGTGAGGTGAGTGGGGCTGAAAGACTTCAGAGAAGTGTGACTACACATGGGCATTTTCAAGAGAAATTTTACAAATATTCTCTCTCCTCGACCAGATTTGCTCTCAGGCACCTCCCCTAACCCTGGGTGTATTCTCAATTGCAGAAAGGAGCCAGTCACATCTCTACTCTGCTCTATTTCTCCTACCAGGAAATGTGAAATCTTAAAACAGCTCAAGGCCTCAGGGATGGGCTTCCATTTACCAACAGGAATCACATAGGAGCTGACACAGGTTAAAAAGGAAAGCAAAAGTTACTAGCCTGTTCTTCCCAGGGCTCTTAGAACTATAACAATGAAGCCTCTTTTCTTCCTGATGGGAGGAGGAGGGGGAGAAGAAGAAGAAGAAGAAGAAGAAGAAGAAGAAGAAGAAGAAGAATTTGGATTTGATATCCTGCCTTTCACTCCCCTTCAGGAGTCTCAAAGGGCTAACATTCTCCTTTCCCTTCCTCCCCCACAAGAAACACTCTGTGAGGTGAGTGGGGCTGAGAGACTTCAAAGAAGTGTGACTGGCCCAAGGTCACCCAGCAGCTGCATGTGGAGGAGCGGAGACGCGAACCCGGTTCCCCAGATTACGAGACTACCGCTCTTAACAACTACACCACTCTGGCTCTAACTTCTTCTGGAGAAGTGCCCAGCAATGGCTGCAACAGCTCTTGTGCTCCTTGCAGCCCATTTAACCCCATGGGCTTGTAAGCTGTACAAAACAATCATATTCCTGTCATTCCCAGGCACTCCCATCAGACAGCAGATATAACCAACACTGATGAGCCTTCTATTCACACAGGTCAGCTCAGCCACCCATAAGAACACACAGCAGCAGGAGAGGAAAAAGAAGGCTGCTTTGGTTAATCAGGTGATTGATCCGTTAATATGACGGCCCTAGAAGGTTCCGACACCAGGGCTGCTCCAGGAAATTTTACTGTCCAAGAGGAAGGGTTAAGATGACACCATCATTCTACATAGTGGCCAACTGGACCTAGCATTGGCAATGGGTCAGTGTCCTCCACCACACCCATAAGCCACAACCATAGGGAGTTGTAGGGCAGGTTGTATAGTAAACACAGTCCTATCCTCAAACATCTCACCTGCCCCCCCCAAGCCACCTCACTCCGCCTAGTGGTGAGGCCAAACTCTGCACATCACCTAGCAGTTCAACGGCTATGTATTTTAAAACTACTTCCTCTTTGTGATGTCACAGACTGAGCCTCATTCCTGTTCTTTCGAGGCAAACCTGGGGGGCGAGGGAGGGGGGCGGACAACGTTTGAAAGGCAACGGTCCCTGGAAAGAAGAGTACCTCTGGCAACGCTTAGATGTCGAGGGGGGGGTAGGGGAAGAAAGATTCTTCTGCACAGGGAATTCCTTAACTTGAGAGGCGACACAAAATAAATAAAAAATTCCGACGACATTCATGAAGGGAAACCTGTAGCTGCTGAGCCCAAGTTGGCCTTACCTCCCATTTCTTCAAGACAAGTTATAGTGAATATCGGCATAACCATATTGAAGCGTGGCTTCACCTGAGACACGCACAAATACTATATACTGCCCACACCTCAGCACACCTTTTTAAAAATAATAAATAATAATAACCTCAATCTAAGTTCTGAAATGCAATCTAAGTTCTGAAATGCAATATATATATATATATATAAAGTTAGTTTCCAGGACGGGAAGTCTTCGAGGCGCGGGGTTGTACCTAGCTAAATTAAGACTTTCCGGGGATCCAAATCCGTCCCTTGACTTCGACGGATCTACTCTCGGTGAGACGACCTAACACCCCAGTGGGGTCAAAATCTGAAGAAAAACTCCCCCGAGGACCGCGCTTGAGTCCGGCCGCCACCCCCAACTCTCCTCGGAGGCCCTCGCTCTCTCTCCAGGGAGCTCTTTCCCAAGCAGCAGGATCCTCGACGGGGGGCAGCCAGGTGCACCCCCAGCCCTTGTCCCCTAACCCCCACCCACCCACTGAAGGCAAACCGAAGCTCTTTCTGGCCCGGTGAGAAGAAGCGCCTCGCCCCTTCCCTCCCCGCCCCGACGGGGCGCCATTTTGTGGCGAGCGGGCACGGCTCGCCTCGCTCCTGAAGGGGCTCTCTCCGGGCAAGGCGCCATTAAACCCCCTCACAGGAGCGGATAGTCGGAGGAAGGAGCAGCAGAGAAGGAAGGGGAAAGAGAAGGAGCCTTCCTCGACGGATACGTACTGCTGTTCACGGTGGCGGCGAGCGCCAGCATCGCCAGCGCCAGGTAGACGGTCCCGCGGGGCAGCTCCATCGCTGGGCAAGTTGAAGGAACAGGCAGGCAAAGGAGGCAAAATAGTAAAAGAGTAATAAAGAGGAGCGCTGCTTCGACGCGCCTTCTCCTCGAGGCTCCGCGGCGCCCTTTCTCCCCTCGCGAAGGCGCTCAAGCTGCTCAGCAGGTTCCGCAGGTAGACCAAGCCCCCTCTCGGCCGGCCGCGCCCGACGTCTCAGGTTGCACCTGGGGCCTCCTATCAAACGCCGCCTCCCCTGGCACCTGTGTCGCTCGCTTTCTCTCTCGCGCGCTCTCGCTTCCTCCTTCTCCTCCTGCGAAGGACAAATGAGTCTCTCGGGGCTCCCGCCAGCGCTTATAGCCCGCAGCGCCACCTGAGCGAAACTGGGAGCGGCCGGCGGGGCGGGGCGAGTCCGGCAGCCAAGGCGAAAGAGGCTCACCTGCCCGCCCGGTGGGCCATATATGGACTTTTCCGGCGCGAGGCACCTTTGGAGGGGACGGGCGGGTGCTGAGGTAAGAGGCGCCTGGCACCTGCTGTCTGAGGGAATGCAGGCGGATCCTGCTGGAGCGCCGTCTGAATGTAACTTTAAAAAATGGGGATGGGTGGTGTTTACACAATTTACAGTGGTACCTCGGGTTACAGACGCTTCAGGTTACAGACGCTTCAAGGTTACAGACTCCACTAACCCAGAAATAGTACCTCGGGTGAAGAACTTTGCTTCAGGATGAGAACAGAAATCGCACGGCGGCAGCGGGAGGCCCCATTAGCTAAAGTGGTACCTCAGGTTAAGAACAGTTTCAGGTTAAGAACGGACCTCCAGAACGAATTAAGTTCTTAACCCGAGGTACCACTGTACCTGTGTGCTGGTCCAACTGGGGAAGGCTGGGGCTCGCCCGGTGGATGGCAGCGCAGTGCGCAAACTGAAAACTCTCGCTCTCTTTTCTCCCCACACCCCAACAAGAAACCAAGAAGTTAGCCCGCAAGAATTTAAAGTTCAAGGAATAGGTTTTGACAGCCTGCCTGCCTACTGGTAACTGTCGCAATTGTGCCCAAAATAATTGGTGGCACTGGTGAAATCTGTGGCAAACACAGGGACAAGAAGGGGAATTCAGGGCACCTGTGGGGAAAATCAGAAAGGATACGGGAGCGGGTGCTGACAACCCACGCTACGCCACTGAGGGGATGCCCTCAAATTTTAAAGTTGATGGATCGTGAGCTGCATATATCGAAAGCTTCGTCCTTGTGCTGTAATAAATGTATCTTCAAGGACCTCTAATGGAACTGAGTTTCTAGTGTCCACTAATAAAACTACATAACTGACCCTTGTGGTACCTTCCAACACTAAAATTCTATTTTATTCTGTTATTCTGTTATTATTTATTAAATTTGTATACCACCCTTCATCTGAAGATCACAGGGTAGTTCCCAACCTAAAAATACAAAATGAGAACACAGAATACAGAATACAGAATAGAACAAAAACCAATAACCCCACTCCCATGAACACATTTGAAGGCCATGGAATATTAATCAGCCAAAGGCCTGGTTAAAGAGAACCATTGTCGCCTGGCACCTAAAGATAGGTACTGAAGGTGCCAGATGAGCTTCCCTGGAGAGAGCATTGCACAAATGTTTATTTTTTAAAAGCATAAATCCTACTCTTTAGCCCAAAATGGCCCAGATTGACTTACAAAGGTCTGTGATAAGACAGTCCTTGCCATCAAGCATATAGTCTAAAAAAGCACAACAGAAAAGGAAAAATGAATTGGAAGGGAGGAGAAAAAAGCAAACTCGGGCATTATCTCTTCGTTACAGCATTCTGTATTGACTAGCAGGAATAGAAAGGTTTCAGTGAGAGGACAAAAATCAAGTTGCTGGTCTTTCAACAGAGCTCATGGAGGAGCCTTGTAGTTCCATCTCTCTCACTCCTATAAGGTTGGAGTTAGTAAAAAGTTGCCTGAGCTGTTCAGCTTAGCTAAGCATGAATAAATTTATGTTGTCATATATTGTTCCTATTAAAAAGGAAGCTGTTTATAAGTCTACCTGTCTCTACGGAGTGCTGACCTGACAGCAGATCCTACTGAAGCATAGAAAGCTGACTAAGTACTCCACCCCTGGCCCACAGACAAAGAGATAATATTATACTTATTAATACCAAGCCATTCCTGTTGTATTCCCACCCTGTTGATGGATCCACCTGCAAGAAGCTGCTTTACGTTGGTATGTTCATGCTTTCTTAATAACCTTACTTTATCAGATTTATGGAGGAAACCTGAGATTCGCTCACACATAATCTGCTTTGAGAGCCACAGAAAATGATTCTGCACACCTTAATCTCTCTTTTGTATTCAGAGTTGGGCATAGTCAAGATTTGCTCCCAACACTCTTTAACTATCCTGTTTTACAGGAGAGTGAAGTTGGTTCCCAGTTCCTTATTTGCATTTTCCTTCATTTTTTTATTTGCAGTACAGAGGAACAGGGGAGAAAGCAGATATTCAAGAAATATTAACTTCCAGCTCGACAGTTCTCTGAGTCTATGAATGTCCAGCAAACTGGAAAAGGAAAAGGAACAAACACCAAAAGAACTTTGTATCACCTTTAAGACAAACAGAATTATTGTGGGAGGAGCTTTGGCAACAATAAAAGTTGTGCCACAATCAAATTGTCGGTCTTTCAGGTACCATAAAACATGGAGCAGGGCCATAGTTCAGTGAAAGAGACGTGCTCATTATGCCTCTCCCATTCCAGGTCCAATCTCTGGCCTCTCCCATTAAATAGAGCTCAAACTCATAGCAGCACAAGAAATGATCTCTGCCTGTTATTAGCACAAAGAACATACCCTGGTTGCCAAGTTTCAACCACAAAGACCATGTGGATTTTTAAAAGGGACAGATCTGTCCTTCAAAACCAGGGGTGAAGAACGTGTGGTCTTGCACATGTTGCTGTTCTTCAATGCCCACCATACCTGACCATTGGCCATCTTGGCTGGGCCTGGTGGGAGTTGAAGTCCAACGACTCCCAAAAGAACTTCCTGACAGTAAGAGCTGTTTGACAGTGGAATTTGCTGCCAAGGAGTGTGGTGAAGTCTCCTTTGGAGGTCTTTAAGTGGAGGCTTGACAACCATATGTCAGGAGTGCTCTGATGGTGTTTCCTGCTTGGCAGGGGGTTGGACTCGATGGCCCTTGTGGTCTCTTCCAACTCTATGATTCTATGATTCTATGACTACAGGTTTCCCTCCACTGCCCTAAACATGTAGTACAAGCACTACAGATGAATCGGGGCTCTCTGACACATGACCATCAATGTTTAGCTTGAGGTACTGTCTTTACTTTTTATTGAGCAGATCTGAAAGCCTTTTTGGCTGAAGAAAAGCATAGAAATACTTTAAATAAGTAGATTTTGTGACACAGGATTGCCCTTCACACATACTACAGGCAATACTGCTGTAACTCTAATATGGAGCAGTGAGCATACACCAGATCCAGAGAACTGCAAAGAATATGCCCGAAATCCTTGGTATTTGAATACATGAATCCTCTCCCCAATAATTTATTGTATTTTTATTTTTTGCTTTTCAGACAAAAATTGTCTTCCAAAGTGGCTCACACCAATCAAAAATAAAAGAAGATACTTGTGGCAGTTACTGTCTATAAAAAAAGGGACACAGGCTCTCAGGCATACAAACAAAAAAGACAAGACACACAAAGTAAGGTGGAGTAAATGGGAAAATGTAGAGGAGGTAGATTGATTTGGTAATGCCAGAATGTGGTTGTGAGTTGTAAGCAGGCATTTATTGCTAAGTTGAGCTCAGCTGATCTGCCTCGCAAGTGTGTTTTCTTTCACAGAAGTACAAAAGCAAGTGGTTCTTGTTCCTCTGGGCACTGTGTCCTTGCTTTTACAGTCCTAGGGTAACTGGGAGTTGGAACAGTAATTTTTCTGGTGGGTTAAGGCAAGCTCCCTACTGTTACTTGTTCTCTGGTTGGTGCCTGGAGCAAGGTTCGTCTTTCCCTTAGCATGTGTTCTTCCTAGGTGGAAGGGTCCCTTGTTCCTCTGGGCAGTGACAAAAGTCATAAAGTTATTCCCCTCATTTTTGTAATCCTTAGGAGACAAGCATTCCTTCCTTTCCTTGCTTCAGATTCTGCAGAGACCCAATAAGTATAAATACTCCAGGAACAAACAAAATTGTGATACACAAATTAGCCAAGAATTATAAAACATATTCCACACTAAAGCATTACAGATATGGCAACCTGTTATACTAAATACGGATAATAGCATTCCATGGCTACTTCCCATGGATTTAGCCCTCAGGGAAACAAAAACATAAAAAATCCCCGTTCCGCCCACAAGTATTCAATGAAAGAGTCACGGAAAACTTATTCAGTTTCCATACTGTTGCTACCCATGTTATCTGGTGACAAGTATCTTAGAAAGGAATCGGAACAAGAAACAGCAGGCACTTTCTGCCTTTTCTCGCTCCCCCTTTTACCTGTTCTGTTTGATTTATTGCTTTTTCTCCTTTTATTGTTTCTTGTGCTAGTAAAAGTGTGTGAGAATAGAAAGAGCACAGGGAGTTGTGTGTGTATCAGAAAGTATAATTGCTGTTAACAGAAGGCCTTGGAAAACCAATACACTTTTAAAATTAATTGACAGCTCCCCAAAGCCCCAACCACAGCTTTTTACCATTCTTTAAATCACGGTGATGGGGAACACAAGAGTATGTTTCTTAAGCAATCTTTATGAAGTGAGTTTGTCTATCTGCTCCATATCTGTAAGCGGATTATTTGTACAAGTGTACAATCTGCCCCCTTCAAAAGTACTGCATATATACTTGTGTGTAGAACCCAAGAAGAACAGGCAGAGGTACCCAAGGTACAACTTTCCATGAGCTCAGCAAGCTATTTTTATACAGTGCCCAAGGGCAATCTGAACAGGAGAGAGAGAGAGCGCGCTAGGCGAGGAGGAGTAACAGGCAAATGGAGACCATCAGGAAGATAAGAGAGAAATTAAAAGGCGAAGCAAAGGGCAAGGGTGGATTCTTGAGTTCGTCATCAGTGTAAGCAAAGCATGATCATTGTCTGCTAGACAGAGGAAACTATTACTCACTCATATTATTTGGTCACACAGAAACAACACACACTTTTTTCATGACACATTTTCTTGTAAAAACTGAACAAGAGCCTGTTGGATCAGGTCATTGGCCCATCGAGTCCAGTATCCTGTTCTCACAGTGGTCAGCTAAATGCCTGTGGCAAACTGCCAGCCAGCCCCATGCATGAGAGAACTCCAGTGGTTTCCAATAACCGGTCTTCCTAAGTATACTGGATGTAAAATGTATAAAAAGGTAAAGGACCCCTGACAGTTATATCCAGTCGCAAACGATTCTGGGGTTGCGGCACTCATCTCGCTTTACTGGCCAAGGGAGCTGGTGTTTTGTCCGCAGACGGTTTTTCCGGGTCATGTAGCCAGCATGACTAACCCGTTTCTGGCGAAACCAGAGCAGCACACGGAAACGCCATTTACCTTCCCGCCGGAGTGGTGCCTATTTATCTACTTTGACATGTTTTCAAACTGCTAGGTTTGCAGGAGCTGGGACCGAGCAACGGGAGCTCACCCCATCACAGGGATTCGAACCGGCGACCTTCCGATTGGCAAGCCCAAGAGACTCAGTGGTTTAGACTACAGCGCCACCCGCATCCCGGCTGTAAAATGTATACTGGATGTAAAATAAGTATACTGGATGTAAAATATCCCAGGTTCAATTCATACTAGAGCTGCAGCTCCTCACTGACGTATGGCTGTGACCATCACAGCAACTGGGGAGAAAAGGCTGTGAGCAGACAGGCAGCTATAGCTGTTCCTGAGCCTCACCTGTGTGATGTAGATCTCTGCCTGCTCCCAGACCCAGAGCATGGAGTTCTAGGATGCACATAGGTCATGGCTAGGCAGCCCATGGTGCTCCTAATACCCCAGTGCTTTTTTTTCTACAAAAAGTAGTGCTGGTACTCACCCTGAAGTTGTTCCAGTAAGTGCCACACTTTTTAACAACAACAAAAAGAGTTTCTGGTACTGCGTATCCATGAATACCCCATAAAAAAGCACTGCTAATACCCAATCATATTTAAACTATTGAAAGAGATAAGAGAACAGCAATAATGTGAGCATACCTTAAGGTAGTCCATGCCCAGGAGAACCCTCCTTACAACATATTTCTATTTCCCTCCCATAGAATTGTAATTTGACTGTTTGTGAGACCTTTCCTTGACACTGGTTTTGTTTTTGCTTTCCTGTAACTGTTGAATTGTGTTCTGTTTTCCTTGTTGCAGTTGGTTGGATTTATATTCATACTCATTTTATTGTACCATTGTGTATTTTAATAGGAAAGCAATGTATGTATTATTTAATAATAATAATAATAATAATAATAATAATAATAATAAAATTAATGCTCTAATAGGGTCTATCAGGTTCACTTCCTTTAGTGAAAGAATGTGCAAGCTTTTGAGCTACCAGTAACTCTTTTCTAGGTTTGATGAACAGTTCTATATTAGTCAAATGTTTGCATAGTCTCCCAACAAAAACACCTCCATCTAATACAATACATGACTTAATCTCTCTCTCTTTTATTTGGTCTGCCCATTGACTGTATCCTGCTCAGTACTTAATATTTGCAGCATCCATTTATTCTTCTTGGTAGGGAATATCTATTCTGCACCACTTCATTGCCAGGTTCATGCCCTCCCTAGGGAGTTATCTGGCAACAGTAGCCAAACACTGGTCTGAAATTAGTCATGCATTTAGAACTGTAGCTTTAGCAGTAGTGTTGCTCCCAGAGGGAGAGGTGTGCTATTCCAATTTTTTTTTTACAGCAGAGAGCAGATAAAAAATAGTAACTGGAAAGCACACATGATGAAGGTTGCTTGCCTGGCCAACTTCATTAGTATTAGCACATGTCCAGAGTTTGGCATTGTGCCCCCTCTGCCTGTAAATTTTGTCTCCATTTGAAATTTCCCTTTACTCCTTGTTGGGAAGAGGGCTGTTGTATTCAAGTCCTGCTGGCTGGCTTCCCAGAGTCATGTGAGTGTGAGTTGATCAAGATGCCGGACTATGATGGATCTTTGGCAGGGCTTTTCTTATATTCTTATGTCCTTTTAAGTAACCACTCTCTGGCTTCTCCCCAAGCATGCCTGCCTTGCGGATAACATGTGGTCTGTTCTGCTTCTTGATCTGATCCTCCAGCCTGCCCTGGGGCTACAACTCCCAAATTCAAACCTCTGAACTAACTAATCCTTTACTTTTTTGCTTGTCACTTGCTTCCATCCAGTTTTCCAGGATTCTTAATAATTTCTAGTCTGGAATTTATCCATTCCTTCTGCATTCCAGTTGACCTGCTCTTGTCTCATCGCACCATTAAGGGGGAAGTTCTCCTTCACAAATCCTATGGAACTGACTGGGGGCAAGAGCACAGTTGCACTCCTATTCATTCCAATGGAGTTTGCAAAGGACTTTTCAGTGGATTTTGCCCTGAATGCACAACTTGGATCTTAATCTAAATTTACATGGGTAGACAAACTAAGGCCTGGGGGCTGGATCCGACCCAATCGCCTTCTCAATACAGACCGCGGACGGTCTGGGAATCAGCGTGTTTTTACATGAGTAGAATGTGTCCTTCTATTTAAAACGCATCTTTGGGTTATTTGTGGGGCCTGCCTTGTGTTTTTACATGAGTAGAATGTGTCCTTTTATTTAAAATGCATCTCTGGGTTATTTGTGGGGCATAGGAATTTATTCCCCCCCCAAAAAAAAGTATAGTCCGGCCCCCCCACAAGGTCTGAGGGACAGCGGACCGGCCCCGGGCTGAAAAAGTTTGCTGATCTAAAAGGAACTGTACACATATATTCTCATGGCAATGTCTTACTTGTGCTTTGGCAATGTAGTACTAAAACGAGCAGCAGAACTCATTGCTTGCATATTATTATCAACAAGACGTATTTACAGAACATGTTGCATTTCAACATGGTAGCTTAACAAGTTGAAACACAGCCACCAGCTCTATTCATGCTCCTGAGTGTACAGGACTTTTGTGATAGCAATCTTTTCTGCTTCCTCTCATGATACGGTATGAGTCACTAAAGTCACTTCTGTGACCTGTTAAGAAGTGCACACCTACCCCTTCCTAAAATGTCCAGTATGAAAGTTCACATTGACTTAAGCATTGTCTTCTCAAAAGCAGACAAACAACATTCTTCATAAGAGTAAACATTCCACATAGGCATCACCAAACGTGCTGCAAAATGACATGCTTAGAAGGAGAAGAACTACCTTCGAAGTTGCATCTTGTAGTAAAGTCATAAAATTGTGTGAGAGATGGAGGGCCTGTCAATACACAGGTCTGTGGCTTTAATTCAAGTTTGCTGTGAATATGTCAACCGCTTACTGACAGAAGCAATTAAATAACCCCATGCCCTTGCTTTTTCATCTCACTTCAGGTTCTGGGTAATCCCTTCATTGTACTAAAACTGAGGAGCACTAAATGCAAAGAACAGTTTTCTGAAAATAACCTATTTCGTAAAGATTCTCACTCAAAAAATATCTGATGGGCTACTAGCTGGAATGACAAACACATTGGTTGTATGTTGCTCTGGAATTTTTACTAGGAGATTTACACAATTTTCTTGAACCAAAACTAAGAAGCAGATTTGTGTTGGGTTGCCAGACCATTAAAATGTTCTTGGGAACAATATATAAGTTTATAAAGCTTCAAGTGAAGAACTCAAACTATTATCTTTATTCTGTCGTGCGTGTGAAAATGACCATGGAGATTCCTTCTGTGTCCATATATGGTGTTGTCTCTTTCACTTCCCAGCTGCTGTTTTCTCCCATCTTGGCTTCGGGCAGAACTGAATATCGAAGTTTCTCAGAGGTCTTATCTCTCCGTTCCTCGCTTCGATGTCTCAGAACAGGCGACATTCTGCTAGAAACCATTCTGTCACAGATCTTCACCATTTCCCTCTCTTCCTAGGAAAAGGTGGGCAGTTTTCGTACATGCTGAAGATTTAATACTCCTTTCCAACTCCCATAATCTCTGCAGCATTCTTATCACAGCCCCCCAATTCTTTTCCTTCCAGCAAGATATTTATGCCCCAATTAAACTTTATCTTAGATTACATTCTGTCAGTAGCACCCACAAATCTCAGTCTCTTTTTCCTTGTCTGTTGTTTTTAAACAGAGGTGAGAGAAATTACTATGTCTTTCCAACACAGTCCTACTTGAGCTTCCTCTCCCCGTCCGTCCTTCATTTCAGATCACACACAGTTTCCATTTTTGCTTGTTAATATCAATACTACTCCAACATCACTTCCTCACTTGTAAATATATTTTTATCTTATATTCCGGAGAGGGTTGCTGAATCACAAATATATAAAAGAAACTTAGAATAAAGATACCATGGGCTTCCCTCTCCCCAAATGACCCTCACGCCGAATAAATTCTTATCTTAATTCAAACCTTTGATCCATGTAGCTGGCATATTCAGCAGTACGTTGTTGCAACCCTTTCCCATCACATGCCGGTAATTTAAAGCCAATTAAAGATCCAATTAAACAGAGAACCTGGGGGAATTTGCAAGGATTATTTACCCTCTGGTATCCTTGTTTTTTGTTTGGCAATGATCCCCTGCTGTCATAGGGGCTACCTATACAGGTGAGACCGGGAGCCCTTTATAGGGAAGTTTTTTAATGTTTAATGTTGTATTATGGCTGGGGCAACCCAGTCAGATGGGTGGGGTAATAATAATAATAATAATAATAATAATAATAATAATGGAATAGGATGTCCCTATTTTTATCAGAGAAATGTTGGAGGGTATGGAATTAAGTAACAGTAATAAGTTTCCCTTGTAACAAATACATGGGGCAAAGTGTATAGTCCATGTGCTTGATATTGCATTTCTCTTTCAGGCATCCTAAGAAAAGCAAAGAGGTACCTGGAGGTTATATTTAAGAAAGCGTATTAATTTTCTAGTGCCTCTGGTCTAGCGAACAGAGTGGCATCACCAAGAATGCAAAAATTGATCACTAAAATCTCAGTTCAATATATCCGCCTTATAGGAAGGAATACGTTATTGCACCAAGGAGTGTTTAAAGTTTAGCCAAACAATTGCTCTTCTGGGCTTGACTAAAATTTCTTAGGAGAAATGTTACTCATTTTCTGTGAGCACTATTGCACCACCCAAGAATTCCCCAAATATATGTAGCAAGTTAAGTCTTGTTATTGTGGATAAATAAAGGTAGCAGTTGGGGTGGAATCCAGTTCAAAGAAAGCAAAATCCCACACCTTTCTGTATCGCAAGACAAACAAGCTTTTGTGTGTCATCAGCCTAAAGCTTACTTAAACCCTTGTTTAAATTTATAAGGAAAGTACAGACTCAAGCTTGATTGAGAGTCAAATACTTGAACAGAAGCAAAGTGTGACGATGACCCTCTGGTTTCTGTACATGCTCAGAGTTCTTCACTGCTGCAGCTTGTATGCAACTGTCAAGAAAACAAAAACCAGCTAAGGCAGGAGGAGGAATCAAAGGAAATAAACATAAACGAAAAGGGTGAGTACTACCATGGCTCCTGCTTTTTTCAACAAGAAAGGTATTTCTGGTGAACCGTATGCCCCACTTTCCTGTAACTATTGTGCCTGTAGCGAAGGAGCCCTCTATATAGCAGAGACTCTCTGTACACTTTCTAGTCGGTTTCTGTGGCTTTCCAGACTTCTCCCAGAACAGAAATATGTTGGAATTAGAATGCAGAAGTGTCTACTGCGGTGAACAGAATGTAGAAGTGTTTTTCGGGGGGCAGGGGAAGCAGCAAAAATGCACACTTTCACATGCCAAAAATCTTGCGCAACACACAGACACAGACCACAGCATTCTTCTAGAACACGAGCTAAAATGCAAATATGTGTGATGGTATAGTGTACAGTGAATACAACCATCATTCACTGGGGACATGAAATCACTGGAATTAAGACACTAGCTGCAGAAACGATTCCTTCAGCTCTCTTTCGACACAGTGTTAAAAGTGCAATTTCAGCAACCAACAGTGCCAGCACCTGGAGTGCTAGGTTACATATGATAATAAAAGAAAACACTACGTTTTAAGTAGGGTATGGGGGCAGGATACAGTAGAAGTATCTGACATGCAAGTCCTTTTCTAGGCTTTGCATGGGTAGGTCCAAGGTTGATCAATTGATACAGAGTTTGTGGCTGAGGGGTGGAGGCAGGACCCAGCTGCTATTCTGAAAGCCCCAGGTAACGTTCAGCAACTGTTGAGCCTTCTTGCTGATCTGGGTCTGTTGGGGCAGTAGTGTACACAACGTGTTCCACAAATCATGATTTGCACTTGCCAAGAGCTGAGTCAGCCATGTCTGTGGTTTTAACAGGCGATAAAGCAGTAAGATAAAGTGGAATTCTATAGGAGGTTAAATCTCTTATTTATATTGAATCATTGATATGCCCTGTTTGTAAAATATTGGACAAAGCAGATATAGATTTGAAGTTTACAATAAGAACACAAATAAAAAACAGGAGGGGTAAGAGAGGAGAAAAACAAAAGGAGTAGATGCTACATGACTCTTCCCATCCCTCTTGAGGGCAAGAAACTAACAACCACAGCAACAAGAATTTCCCTATGGTAACAGCAGTCACGAAATTAAAAGACGCCTGCTTCTTGGGAGAAAAGCAATGACAAACCTAGACAGCATCTTAAAAAGCAGAGACATCACCTTGCCGACAAAGGTCCATATAGTTAAAGCTATGGTTTTCCCAGCAGTGATGTATAGAAGTGAGAGCTGGACCATAAAGAAGGCTGAATGCTTTTGAATTATGGTGCTGGAGGAGATTCATGAGAGTCCCATGGACTGCAAGAAGATCAAACCTATCCATTCTGAAGGAAATCAGCCCTGAGTGCTCACTGGAAGGACAGAAGATTCCCTGGAAAAGACCCTGATGCTGGGAAAGATTGAGGGGACAAGGAGAAGGGGATGGCAGAGGACAAGATGGTTGGACAGTGTTCTTGAAGCTACCAACATAAGTTTGACCAAGGTGCGGGAGGCAGTGGAAGACAGGAGTGCCTGGCATACTCTGGTCCATGGGGTCACAAAGAGTCAGACACGACTAAACAACAAAGGAAAACAAGAAAAAAAATGGTGGGAATGTAATTCAGAGCCAAGGTTAGGGAGGAAAAATAGAGCTCCAAAGAAAGATTGTTGTTCATTTAATCAAGAGTGCACACCCCCCCAAATCAAAAGGTTTTTATTTCATGAATCTAACCAATTCACTGACTAAATGTCAGAACTCTCATTGCGTACCCTCCAAAATATTGGAAGGGCAAATCGGAACATGACCCTCCCTGCCACTGCAAGGCTCACCAAGGCCACGAACGTACTTCCGGAAGCTGGTGCTGCACTTCTGGAGGTGCAGCCCAGCTTCCTGAAGTATGGTGGCAGCCATGGTGGAGGCCACAGTGGTGGCAGCAGAACATCCGGGATCTGCTCCCGGCTTCTGTGAATCCAAGATGTCCCTCTCAAAACGGGACAACTGGCTGGTATGTCATTGTCCCACCATCCTAGACAATGAGTGGGATTCAGCATCAAGCAATGATGGATGTTTTATCTGTACAAGTGTTTCAGCTTCCCAGAGGGAATGCACCCTCTCCTCCAGACTTGCTCTGTTCTGGAGGTTCTCCTGATACCCACCCACGTCCACCACAATAACTTATTTCAGGAGGGGGGAAGGGCAGGGCTTCCACTGACAGGACTCATTAGCACCGAAAGCTGTCAAACATGCTTCTGGGCGCAGTGTCCTCCAGAAGCAATAGAGGCAGTTCCTTGGGTATGCACTGGCTGAAGAATTTGTAGTGCTTCCTTTCGCCTAGATTGCCCTCTTGGAACAAAACAGGATATCCCACCTACTCAGGGCACTGTTGGGATGCGTCTGGGGAGACGGGGGCATTTGGCAGGCCCCTAGCTGGCGCCAGCCACCGGCCGTCAGCCGGGTAAACTCCGGTTCTCGAAACAGCATCAATCAGCGACTCGAGCTTCCGAACCCTTTGGAGACTGAGCATGCTCTTATCAGCAGATTGAATAAATCTCCACAACGGAAGTGGCAGACGGAGACATGTGTAGGCATTATTTACAGGCGTTTATTCAGCATAGCTCAGGAACAAAGGAAAAAACATGTCTGCTTCCCTTCGTGTCCAAGCAAACAGCAGTACAGCAAAAGCAATATACAACGGAAGTTCCCAGCAGACTGTGCTGGAAGTAAACAGACATGTGACATACAATAACTCCACATATCTGTTCCTCTTAAGGTGGAACAGAACATCAATATCCTAACAGGCACGAGCGCCCTCAGTGGTGCTTTATTTTCATGAAGCCATTTGGGGCCAAATGAGGGGAGAGACTCCATCAGGCAAGGCCTCCTTCCACCTGCCTTGCTCTACCCTCTGCTTCTCAGTGTGTATTGTATTGTTTTATGTACCGTGGCTTGCCGTTGTTTTATTGATTATAGTTTAGATATTATTGTAACTGTTGAGTGGATTTCTGTTTAACTTTAAATGTTGATATTATTATTTTATACTATTCTAATGATTGTTGAATGTTACTTTTTTGATGGAGGTTGCCTATTTTAAAGTTATGTTTTATTATCACATTTTTGTATTGCATTAGATTGTTATAAGATGTACATTTTTTGTTTCTTCAGCTTGTAAACCGCCTTGAGTATTGTAAGATAGAAAGGCGGTATACAAATTAAAAATGATGATGATGAAGAAGAGGAGTTTGGATTTGATATCCCGCCTTTCACTCCCCTTCAGGAGTCTCAAAGCGGCTAATATTCTCCTTTCCCTTCCTCCCCCACAACAAACACTCTGTGAGGTGAGTGGGTCTGAGAGACTTCAAAGAAGTGTGACTGGTCCAAGGTCACCCAGCAGCTGCATGTGGAGGAGCGGAGGCGAGAACCCGGTTCCCCAGATTATGAGACTACCGCTCTTAACCACTACACCACACTGGCTCATGAATGAAATGTGCTGGCCTCCTGAAGCGAGGTCCTTCAGCATAGTTAACTGGCTGCCTTTGCTCTAAGGACGTTTGGATTCCCGAGGGCCAGTTCTCTCCTGTGCAAGTGTTATTCACTTAATGTTTACCCAACACTAGGTATTTGGCATCCGAAGGCTTGGACAGTTGTTGTTGGCATCCGTCTGTCTCGAGGGACAATGGAGTGCGCCTCCGGGGGTGAAGTCTAGCAGCACTGTGCTAGCAGCACCAAAGTGACCTCACCAGAGCGCAAGCCTGGGCAGTGTGTATGGAGGTCCTGGACTGCCCAGACAAGACTCCCCTCTCAGCCTCGTTGATGTGGTCCAAAGGAAAGCAGAGCAAGACATTTGGCACCTGCTTGGCTGCAGGAGTTGCCTAAATGGCATGAACGGACTGCACTGAAAAATACCATAGTTGTTTTGGTAACACGGAAAGTCTCTGTTGGGCAAGGTCTTTTTGATGGATCATTCATATGTGGCTATCACACAGTCAACGCTTGAGGAATATGCATGGGATAGTTAGCATTCTGGTGTACCTATTCTTGTTCAGTTACCAGAAAAGTTACTATGTTAAGGTGCGGCAGCATAAAAGAGAAAAAGGGCAGTGGCAACATTGCCCCACCTTGCTGTTTGGCAGTTGCTAAATGGACTTTGACTGCAGCCGTTGAGTTTCCTTTTACACACCCGACACTGCAGGCTTTATTGTATTGGCTTGGGTGGAAGGCACTTTTTATGGACTATGGTGCATGTATGTATCATAAGAGCTGTCCTGCCCACTATACGACAATGAACTGCTCAGTTCTCAGAAAATGAAAAGAATCTGCACCAAGCACTGAGCAAGCATTGGCTGCTTTAACTCACAGACTGTATTTTGCTGTTGCCACACCTGGATGCATGCTTGCAAAAGAAAACATAAATCTAAACCTTCAGGAAACCCCATATTCTGGACAAAGGGATACTTGGGAAAACAGGTGATAAATTATTACAAAGTCTGTAGTATGTAGGCTGGGGTGTGTGTGTGTGTGTAGTTTATTGTGAACTTCCCTGATGTGTTTGCAGAGTTGGACATTCTTTTGAGCATGGAACAGTTTTGCAAAGAAAGGTGTTTTGATTTGCCTTTTTAATGGCACAGTGCCTCCTTTGTCTTTAACGTGTAGTTAAAAACAAATTCAGCAAAAAGGCTTTTTCTGGCATGAGGAGGAAACAATGGGGAAGAGAAGGAGGTTTCCTCTCCTACATTTTTGCTTGTCCCAGTGTTAAAGACAAGCCTTGCTAAAAAAGGGGGGGGGTTGGTACTTGCACAAACCAAGCACTTGTTCCTTCCCCCACCCCTTATTTTATTAGAAATTTCTAGCCACAAAAGCATCATCATGCCTTTAAGATCTTTTGTAAGCTTTAAAATTGGCATCTACATTGGCAAATCTTCCAAACGCTGTCCCAGCTCCTGCCAACCTAGCAGTTCGAAAGCACACCAGTGCAAGTAGATAAATAGGTACTGCTGTGGCACTCTGGCTTCCGTTGCGGTGTCCTGTTGCACCAGAAGCGGTTTAGTCATGCTGACCACATGACCCGGAAAGCTGTCTGTGGACAAACACCGGCTTCCTCGGCCCGAAAGCGAGATGAGTGCCGCAACTTCATAGTTGCCTTTGACTGGACTTAACTGTCCAGGGCTCCTTTACCTTTACCTTTTTTATATCCATAATACGGTACAAAAAGAAGTAGTTTTCATCAGCCATCAAGGACACTGAAGATCCCTCCTCTGTCTTGCCTGCTATCATCATTTAAAACCACGGACAAGACTGATTCAAGTTGCAATCCAAACCCCTGATCCACCACATTAGGAAGGGGATTGGATGGGCAGAGGTTCCCCTCACCATCACTGCCACACCCAAAACAGTTCAACTGCTTCCATTATTCTCCAGCTTGCTAAAGGGGTAGGCAGAAGTACTGCCAGTGGGATTCCTATTGAGGTAGCCAGTGGAATGTTCTAACACAGTGTTCCAGGGATGAGGAAGGCTAGTGGCCAAGCTGGGCCAGAATCCACGGATCCTGAGCCGGCGCCACTGCTGTCATTTGAGCAGTTTTACCTGCTTTCCGCTGCAGGGGTGCCGATGCAGCAGTGGCTACACCACTCTGTCACAAGCCCTGCTTCCCTGCAGATGGTTTGGATTGCACAGGTAACTCTTGGCCAATGCAGTTGCGGCTTGTGGAGTTCACATCCTGCCCCCAAAAGCCACTTGGAAAGACAAACATTCTGTCTTGCGGGTACTAAAGGCACCAGGAGTGTTGTCAAAGAAAAAGTGGCAACGCTGCCTCTAGCTTGGGAAACGTGAAATTGCTTTGTGTAGAAACTCCTTTTCAGAAGGGGAAGTTGAGTTCCGGGTGGTGACTCATGAGTCACAGAAGTCTGGCTGAATTTCCCAGGGGAATCACAGAGGAGGAGGTCCCTGGGAGCCTCTCTGTTTGCGGGAAGCTCACTAGTGCCACATACTGAGTAACTATTGTTCTTAGCAATTGGATGCATAAAGTGTACATTTCAAAAGGCAAGAAAACAAGAGCGCTGCTGGATCAGAGCAAAGGTCCATATAGGTGGACTGCAATCCTACTTACACACACTATAGATGCAAATAAAGCTGCCAATATCATGAGACTTTCCTAAATATCCTTAGCACAAAATTTGCCTTTATTTTTTACAGTGCCACTGGCTCAGCATTTTCACTGAGCTATCTACTGTGCTCCAAAGATCCTTTTCCTGGTTAGTCACAATTAGCTCACGCCCCATCAAGGAATGCTTAGATTAGAATTCTGTTTGCCCCAGTGACTTTACTTTACACTTTCTGACTTACATCAAACCACAAATCCCTGGAGGAATAGATTGGCTTGCGCTGTCAACATTGCTCTAATACAAACCATAACAATTAATTGCAAATCCTCTGGCTATTGTTGTAAATAAAAATATGCCCTTTTCCCTTATGGGGTATCCAAGAGCCCATATAGAGTCCTTACATAGGTTCCCTATTGGTAGGAGAAAATAACAGAGGCCAACCAGAGAATATTGAGAAGCAAAGCAGCTAGTAAGCTTGATCTTTATTGATCTGTTGCAACAGGGTACTCCCTCACAGGCAGAAGAGGAGGAGGACCCAGAAAGATGGTGTGCAAGACCTTATAAAGACTTTTGAAATTCCCATTCTCTAGATCAAGACCACCCCCAGAAACATTATGCATACATCACAGAAGGGGTGTAACCTAAGACCACCCCTCAGATACATCCCACCTACATCACAGAAATTTAAATGTTGTTTTTCTCCTGTCACAGTTTATCTCCTGTCTGGCAAGTTACTTGATTGGATTTCCCGGGGAGCCTTCTTTTGTAGTGGTAAAATACTTATTTCCTGGGCCAGGTCACAGGCTCACACCTTATTCAAACAGACATATCCTTGAGACAGGATTTGTGAGGAAAGAGACAATGGGGAGGCTTTTCCAGTTTAACCTTGCAGAGAAAGGATCTGGTCAGTTTAGGAATCAAAATGGTTCCAGGTTGGTCTTCCTGTGTTGATCTATGTATGTGCAGTTATGAACATTACCATATATCTAAGACCATAAAATTCCTATCACAATATACACTTTTCTTTTCTTGCAGTGTAATCTTGAACAAACATCTGTACCCTGTTCAAAATCTTGCTCCCCTAATCTAATGCCTTCGTCTGCCTCAACTGCAGCAAACTTGTCTCTCAGGTATCAGTCTCTACAGCCACAGCAGCTGCGATAACTCTCCAACGGTTTGACTTCAACCCCCGAAAGCGCAATCCTCCATTGTTTCCTGAGACAGACGGATGCTAACCAGTCTTTAGAATAGAGGTTATTGTACGTGCTTAATGATCATTTGCTGCCTGCATATTTGCAGCACTTGTATCTTCTGTTTTCATGTCCATGTAATAAACTGAACTTTACTGCTTCCTGTTGTGACATATACTTGATCCGGGTATACGTATAAGGGTTAAAGGTAAGCATACATTTTTTATCAAAAGCACTGTGACTCCATGCAAAAGGTTCCTTTCTTCTAACGGCTGTAAACTGAATTCATGCATGTGACAGATAAGCATGTGGGCTGAGATGCACATCTCTTAACAACACTTTCTGTCACAGCACTCAAAAGGTGTATTGCACATGGGTATCTCAAAAATACATGGCAGAATGCACAGGAATCATTTAGCAAAACACAAATTGAAAATCCATACATGTGGAATTTCCTGACCGGTAGTTCCGATTCCAATGGGTAGCTTAGAAAGTGAGCTGCAAGCCTCCTACAAAATCTAATTTTAAATTGTCTCGTAACAAACTGCAGGAAACATGTCCATGCACACTCCGAAGCCAGACCTCTCTACAGCCAAGGAGAGCAGCATGCTTTCTCCTATTGCAATGGAGCCAGTGTTCTTTGCCCGACAAAGCCGTTTCGCCTACCATAGAAACTTACTGCATCTACATTATCAATAATTAATCCCAATGGAGGATGAATCACGAAGGAGCAGCTGACTGCAAAGTGTGGCGCTTGCTTTCTTGCTGCAACGATTGAAGAGGAACGGAATTGTCTAAGCTAGGCCTGAGAGCCATCTTAAGGGACTGCCAAATGCAGAAATCACAAAGAATAAGACTAGTTATTTCTCAGGTTTCTAATATTTGGTACACTGTTGCTTTTTCTGGATTAAAAATAGAGATACTATATGAACGAGAAATATTTTTCTATTTTCTCCGTTGGTTTTCAGAGCAGATAGGGGTCCTTGAAATTTCAGGACAGGACAGGTATAGACCGCTATCATTCTGCCCTCCCTTTTTAACCAGTTAGCAAAGGCTTAGGCATGGAACTTAATACCACAATTCATCCCCTTTCACTATGTCCAGAACCTAAGTGGATTAGGCCCTGAACATTTGGAGATAACTTTTGCACGCTTACTCTGAATAGACTGAGCTACCGATTAACTACCTTTTCAAAAAAGAAAACCGGATTTAAGGTAGGGCCTAGAAACTCCCCTGAAATACCGAATTTTTCGCCCTATAGGGCGCACCGGCCCATAGGGCGCACCTAGTTTTGGGGGGGGGGAATAAAAAAAAATCATTCCCTGCGCGCCCCAGGCTTCAGGATGCAGGCTGCTATCCGCAAGCCTAGGGAGCCCGGCAGGAACTCCCAGAGGGCTCCCCAGGGTTGCGGATAGCTTCCTGAAGCCTGGAGAGCGAAAGGGGTCAGTGCGCACCAACCCCTCTCGCTCTCCAGGCTTCAGCAAAAGCCTGCATTCGCCCCATAGGATGCACACACATTTCCCCTTCATTTTTGGAGGGGAAAAGGTGCGTCCTATAGGGCGAAAAATACAGTAATTGTACACTATGCTTATGAGTTTCAAGTACACTGGGGCTGTATGCTGTTGAAATGTAGATACCAAAATATCTGAAAATTTACTTACTTAGTTCAGAAAAGAACTTCCGTAAAGTATTTTTTTAATATGATCACAACAGCAAAACCTTTATATGCTAAATAAAAGATATATGGAATACCCCAGCTTAGAGATTGGCTTGTCAAGTTATAGAATTCAACAATTATCAATAAACTAAAATGGGTGTCTTTTGGGTAAAGTTAGGCAGCAGCAGAGTTGAGCAGGAATGATAATTTTAAAGAAAATACTGGAATACCAGGTGTAGTTTATGGTGATCCATTTCCTTTAATAAAAGTTGAAGGTAAAAATGGGCTGGATCCAGATGATGTTAATTGGACCTTAGGTTCCATTAGAATCAATGACAAGTTAACTAAATTAACTTGTCACTAAATTAGTTCCCACTGATTTCAATGGGACATACATGCAACTTAACTCCATATGGATCCCACCCAGGGTTTATTATTTTTGAACTTTTTAAAAAATGCCAAATTATTTCCCTGCTGGATTTTTTTTTTATACTCACAAAATCCCAGGAAGTTTCAAGGCAAAACATGCCCCTTGTAGAAGCCAAATTCTTTCTCATGCAGAATTTGTACTTCTACCCACCACATGCCTGCAAATTTAGTGCCCTGTACAGGTTTACTAGCAGCAATCTGTTTGCAACTGTACAGGTTTCCAAAGTGGCAATCTGTTTGCAACACATTGCATGCTAGTGCCTTAACATGGAGGGAGGAAAAATCAGTAAGACCAAACCAATCAGTGGCTTTAACTTGTAAAGACCGGCACAGCTTGGCTTAGGACAAGGGTCTCTCAAGGACCACCTGCAAATGTCTTGAGAAAATCTGGCAAAGCTGTTCTCCGGGTTCCTCTGCCTAGTGAACAGAGGTGGGTAATATAACTGGGGGACTGAACCTTTTCTGTGGTGGTGCTTCCTAGATGCTTATGCCTGGTTCCTCCGTTCACAAGTTTTCAGTATTGGACAAAAATTGTTTTATTTGACGAGGTATTTTAATTCGATGCCCTTGTTAAGCTTTTGTTGTCTTGGAGCTTTGAGTTTTAGCTGAATGTTTATTTGCTACTGCCACTTTTTAGTTTTGTCCTTAACTTGTTGGTTTATTATGTTTAGCTTTATGTTCATAATTATCCAGTAAATTTCACAATCACTTTTTTAAAAAGGAAAGACAAGATACACATAATTAAGATACTGTACTACAATTATTGGATGATTTAATCATTTAATCTGTTGTTTCCATTGACAAATTATATTAAAGATTTTTAACATTTGTTTGCGTTATTTGAAATGCTGCCCAGATGTAACTCAGTAAGCCAGCAAAGCATTGGTTGGTTTTACTCTTAAAAACCTTATGCATATTAAATTCTTCTGACAAAATCTTGACATCTTAAAAAAACACCCCTGAACTACCCAAATAATAATAAAAGCACTTAACTTTATGAGTCAAAAACATAAAATAAAATAAAATATACTTTAAGTAACAAAATATCAGTTCTTATGTGCTTCAAAAAATTATTTCAATCATACAATTTATACATTTGAGTCAACCTTATGTTTATTACTCTATGAGTGCAGTTTTCAGTCAAATCCATACGAGAAATAAAGGCCTCAACGGATAGCTTGTACACCAGTCAGGTACAGGGTTTAAAGGCTTTTTCCTACATTGCAATCTAATGACATGAAAGCATTCCTATGACTGAAAAGATTGTGTTAGTGGTCAAATAATCTGTGCAGACACAAGCTTCTTCCAAGTCAGTTGTATCTATTTACCATTCGGAGGATACATTTTCAAGTTTAGAGAGCCACACAGGAGTGATCTCATGTCTTTAAAATTACCCATGCAGAAAACAGCGGACAGAAAATAGAATTATACCTGTAATTTATTTGCTTATTAATACCATCTATAAATGATAGCTTTTATAATATGCATGCTTAGAAAAACATGCTTAGAAAGACAAATCCAAGTTGGAAGCAAATGCATGCAAGACATCATTTTGGACTAGCAAGTAAAGTCCAAGGATGTAATTCCAGTATGTTATTTGAAGTGCAGACAGAATTATGTACATCTTTCACTAGTGGAAGCAGCTTCTAAAGAACATTATTAGATGTAGCAACTTTTGTTTTCATGAGGTAATTTTGTATTTATGTGTAAGTAAGTAAAGATACCAAAGATTGTATACAACTCACCAAGAATTTCTTCTACGCAAGGCCCATCAATTCAAATGGGAGTTGCACAAGACATTAGTGGATTGGGTTCACCGGTTTTATGGCATGGCATGCTTAATGTAAGAAACGCTCAAACTTTATTCCCTGCAAATTACTTAGGGCCTGACTGACTGCAATTTCATTCTTCTTCCTGGGCCGTTTGTAGAGGAACTCAAGACAACAGCGGCAGTGCTTTTGGCTGAGAGAATTAGACGTCCTCAAGTTTCAATCTGCAAATAAAGGGAGACCGGAAGGAGCCCAAATAGAGATGTCCATCATGTTCATGTGCTTCACTTATGTAAGTTGCCACCATTCCATTCGGATCATGGAAGCTTCTTCTGTAGGATCCGGTGTCACTTAGTTCTAGAAGTAGGCTGTACTTGGGCACAAATTTTATCACCATTTCTTGACTGAGCAGCTGGGGGAAGAAAGTATTCACCTCAGTCATAAGCATTACAAGTACATCAGTTAAAATATGTTACCCAATTCAGATTTTTAAACCCCAGAATGTCCAAAGGGTATCAACTATCCAAAAGCTCTTTGAAGCACAATTTATTTTGGGGCAGAGTTAAGCATATGATCAAGTATCTTGACTAAATCAGCCTTCCCCAACCTGGTGCCCACGACCCAGATGTTTTAGATGGCTTCTCCACCATTCTTGACCATTGACCATGCTGGCTGGGGCTGACAGGAGCCGTAGCCCAAGGCTTTTGGAGGCCACTAGGTTGGGTAAGGGTGCACTAAATCAATGGGGAGTGTTAAAGCTTGCCTGCAGTTTGCCCAAATTAAGCTTCTCGTGATGGGTGCTTTTTGTTTTTTTAAAAACTGCAAATGTAAGCATTTTAATCTTAAAGCATTTTTAATTTACTGTCTATTTGAGTGAATGTTGCAGTTTTAGTGCTTTTTAATTTGTTGCATCCGTTTTATGCTTTGTTCTGCTACATAAAAATAAAAACTACTTTTATGTTTCATAAACTTGTAAACCACCCTGGGAACGTAAATTTATGTTGAAGGTGTGGGATATAAATATTGATGCGTTTCAATCTTCACACCAGCCCAACAAGCTGGTAAGGTAATAAGCACCAGTGCTGGAGGCTGGGACACTTGTTGGACTGCTAAGAGGAATGAAGAACATCAGCCCTTAGAACTTTTGTTTGCCAGCACCACCAAAAGGGAGGGAGGACTTCACAGGTGCCTGCAACAGCCATTGCCTCTCAAAGTCCTAGGGGTTGGAGTGGTTTCAATACCATCTGCCTAAAGCGGAACAACTGCTTGACTAGGAAAAGGACTCTAAAGGGGGGAAAAATCCGTCCCCCAGAACTTCCTTTTGCTGCCACCATCTTTGAGACAGCACAACAAAGAGTCGCACAATTTAAACATTTGATTGATATTGCCCGGTATTCTGGCTCTATCATTGTGAGGGCAATACGATCTGTCCATAAATCGGCTATTTCAAATCACTTTAATATTAATATACTGCTTTATACTGCTTTTAAATCATGTCTTTTTTTAAATAAACCAACTGGCTCTCAAAGTAGATTATGCAATTTATCATCAAAGCAGAATTTGTTTTACCTTAAATATTATTCTTTTAATCCATGGTTTTTCAGATAAGAAATCCAACATAGAAAATCCAGGATTGGACCGAATAGCTGACATAGCCACCCAATAACCTCCAGAGCTGCTTGGACGTATGTTATCTGGAAAGCCGGGCATATTTTCTATAAACATGTCTTCTCCACCTTTCATTAGGCCAGATACGTAATATCTGCAAAATTAAAGTGCTTTAATATATTACAAGATAATAGCACATGTCAAGGAGGAACCATAGAAACCAACAAGTGCTTCCCAGGAGGAAGAAGAGCCAAGAAAAGACCTACTATATCACAAGTGGGCAAAATTCGTCAGAGCAAGTGAGTCTGCAGTTTGCATAGTAAAAGCAGTGAGTTCGCTTGCAGAGCACAGTATTTAGAAAAGCCTCTTCAACAAGGATGATCAACAAACTTTGCATCAAATATATTCCTAAAAAGATAGGTAAAGGGACCCCTGACCATTAGGTCCAGTCGTGGCCAACTCTGGGGTTGTGGTGCTCATCTCGCTTTATTGGCCGAGGGAGCCGGCGTGCAGCTTCCGGGTCATGTGGCCAGCATGACTAAGCCGCTTCTGGCGAACCAGAGCCAGAGCAGCACACGGAAACGCCGTTTACCTTCCCGCTGGAGCGGTACCTATTTATCTACTTGCACTTTGATGTGCTTTTGAACTGCTAGGTTGGCAGGAGCAGGAACTGAGCAACAGGAGCTCACCCCGTCGCGGGGATTCGAACTGCCGACCTTCTGATTGGCAAGTCCTAGGCTCTGTGGTTTAGACCACAGCGCCACCCGCGTCCCTAAAAAGATAGCTGAGCTTAAAACACTTGGCTAATGCTGTTGGTGCAAACTTTAATGTATAGCCAGCTTGGGAGGCATCCCACATACCTTCGTATTCTTGCCATAGTTGTTTCGGCCACCAACACAAAGTCTTCAGCAGGTGAGAGCTGGACTCCATTTGGAAATCGGAGCCCTCCCATTAAGACTTTCACTTCCTTTGTGACAGTGTCATATTCAAGCAAGCTAAGGGCAAAACCATTAACAGTCATTACTTTTTAAATTCATTTGTCATAAAGTTTCGTGCAAACTAATACATAACCATGTAGACAATAACAGAACCAATACAAGGAGCACAAGTCAGAAGGGGTCTCAAGCAGAGCAGTATTATAGTCCAGTTTCCTAGAGATTTCAATACTCACAGGCTCATTTAACTTCTGTGAACCTACAGGTTTCCTAGTTGCTTCATTCACAAATTTGCTTGTAATGCCGTATTTTTATTGGCTTGGTTTCCACGCAACTCTAAGCATAGTTTATTTTGAACTATGGTTTAACACAAACAAGCAGCCTGCTGGTGCAGGCTCCTCAAAAGTCTCACCACTCCTGTCTGGGCCGTGCTTGAAAGACACTAACCACAGCACTGGCTCACAGGTATGCATTAGTGGGAGCACAAGGAACCTAAACTCCAGCTCAAGGGTGGGGCTGCTCATTCAATTAAGCTATTACTATTACCTTTAATTAAGAATTAGCACATTGGCTAAGAGAAAATTCCACACCAGGCAGTCCCAGCCGTGCCACAGACCAGAAACTCACTAAGAAACCCAGTCGTACTGCTCTGTCAAAATTCTGCTTTCGCAACGGGCATCAAAACACTGCAAGGATTTTCCCCAGTTGGGACTTACCGTCCATCATCGGAAGCCTCCATGATTAATAAGGAATAGTCTTTTCTGTGCCATTTACTACTGGAGTCAGTAAAGTAGATTTTCCTTCCGTCTCGCGTCAGTGTAAGATCATTCACAAAGGACATGTTTTTTCCTTCAATGGGAATCTTGGAGGACACAAGTGGTTTCACTTCACCTGATCACAGAAAGGAGGACTTGGTTAACCCCTTGCTTTCCTACATGCTTTAAGTTTAGAGTAGTTAATAATTTTCCAATGATAAGAGCTTTCCTTATGCATCAAAATGGCAGATAGAAAATAATTTACAAATATTTTCATTTACTTTGGCTAAGGAAGAGGACTCTGTGTTTGCACATAAGAAAGGTTTTTTGTTCTTAAAACTGAACAGCTTGCATTTCAAGGTGTGCTTTTGTCGTATGTTATTTAAAGTAGACAGATCCATCAGGCTGAGACTTTCCCAACTCCCTTCTTGCTGTACTGAAACCTTGCTTTAAACAGCCATCTTTTCCTGAGTGTTTCCTTCTCTCTGCTTGCTCTGCTTAAACCTCTGCCATTGTTTAAAACTGTAATTTTCCTCTTGTGTATGAGAGACAAAGGATGCAGAGCCATGGAATATTACATAGTCATTTCACAAAACATGTTTCATTCCCAGTATTAGGGGTTATTTTCAGCATGATTTCCCAGATTCAACATAGTAATTTAGAACAGGTATTTTATTAGCAAGCAAACATTCATATATGTACAACATTCATCAGCTGATAATCTTCGCTAACGGAACAAGATGACAGGATCGCTCATCTTAAAAGAGTGCCATATAACATATATCATCATGGTGTGTGTGCAAACGGCTGCAGAATAGGAAGGAGACATGAAAATGGGGGTGATCTGTATGCAAAGAGGAGTTGGAAAAGGAAGTGAAAGGGGAAAGGGGGGTGCAAAGATAGTTGCCAAAAAGAGGGGAGTAGCAGGCATGGGAATGGGGTTTAAGAAGAAAGCAGGGAAATGAAAGCATCTGAAGAATAGGAGATCATGGCGACTTCACAAGGAAGACAAAAGAAATGCCAGGCCAAAGCAAACATGAACAGGAAAAACATGAGTGCAAGTTTACCTGAGACAGGATTGATTTCAAAGAGTCCATAGTAAGCATCTGCCACAAAAAGGGTGTTCTCTGGTCCAACTCTGATTCCAAGAGGTCTCCCACATGTGGTTTCATCTTCTCTGGTTCCTTTTAAGACACATTTCCAGCAAGTTAACAGCAGCAGTTTTTATACAAAGATTTCTATACTGCTTCAGGAAAAAATGCCATTACTTCAGAATTTAATCCAAAAACAAATATTCAGCAAAACTTTACTGATATCAACACCATTTTACGCTGACAAAATTCCAAAATGGTATCTTTAGTGGTCTGTTGCAGGAAACAACAATGTACCTTGCAGACTACTGACATTTTCTGGGCAACATTAAATTGTGCTAGTGCAAGGATTACCATGAACACAACAAGACTTTTGCCGCTCTCCTGTGCGCGCCCTGTGCTATCCCTAAATCTGCTCCAGAGGGTGGGGGAACTCCCAGAACAGATTTAGGAGGCACACAAGACAAGGATAAATCCTTGCACTGATGGAAATATTTGTTTAGTGCTATGCTGAATGCAACCCTTTGTACAAGATCCAACCTCCCCTTCCTTTCCTCCCACTTCTGCCCCCCCGCCCAGGAAACAGGGAAATTCCCTCTTGCACGAGTAGGCTGACACTTCAATGTCACCCTTGTTAGGAAATCTGCCATATCAGGAGAAACTGGCCACTCTCCAGGCACCCGGCATGATCTCCTGGTGACCTCCCTGTCTGCATTCCCCGGCAGACGCAGGCTAGGTCGCAATCGGCGATCCTCCTCAACGTGAGAAGAACACACCACTCTCCCCCCCCCTCCCAGGCAGGGGAAAAGAGATAGACAGAAATGTATTTACATGCCTTTATTTCTGTCTTTGCAGCGTTACAGAGAAACACGTCTGCTCTCATCAGACTCCATCAGTAGAGAGACAAAACTCCTCCTCCTGTACTTCCTGTACAGGTCATATTACACTCTGAGCTAATTCCGGTGCTTTGCACTGAAAATAGACTCTCCCTCTGTTCCCACGGAACAGTTCCAACATTCCCATTATGTTTTTGCTTTCAAGTCACCTGCTGCTCGCGGTCGCATTGCATCCATATCGTAACAACCCTAATATATTTATTGTGAAAATTTCATGGACAAATAACTAGTTGCCTTATAATAAATGTGATGAATAATCTCTTCTAGTTGTGGATTTTTATTGCATTTATGTTTCTGTTGCCACTTTTAGGACAAGTTATTCTTTTTGCATGGAGAATGAAGATGTAGCCAAAGAAGCAGCAAATGTTTAAAACTTTTACGTTCACAGTGCCCTCTACTGGCTGTTCCAAAAAAGGAAACCAACACAAGCAAAGCTAGACATTCATTCTGCAAGTTACCAACAAGCAGTACTGAACAACGGTCAGTCTCTTTCTTGCCCCTTACTGACTTCACATGGCACAACATGTGGAAAACATAGCCTGTGGTAAGTGAAGTCATTTCCTTTTTCCAAAATACCTTTCTCTTCCACTGTTCTATGTAGGAAAACACTTCCAGCCGGAACAATGCAGAGTTGCCTCTCTCAACTTTAACAGGCTAAAGCCAATCACTCCAAAAAGTTGGACCACTGCTATCCTATATTCTCTTAAGCACCTCTGTGTGTGAAGGGGATAATCTGAGTGTAAGTTATTGGACTGTGCTATATAACAAAATAAATGGATGGAAGCATTAGAGAAAAAGAAAAGGTAAACAGAATTTTTTTAAAAGAAAAAAATCGAAGGATAGATGTTAAGGAAATGAGATCCTACAAGTAATGGTGCAAATCTGGGTGCTGCAATGAGGCTTCTCATTCTCCACGTGCAATTTCAGGTGTTGTAGTTCCTCATTTTTCATGTGCAATTTCAGGTGTAGTTCCTCTATTTTTCTATAGTATTAAGCTAAGCTAAAGTCAAAGATGGCATGATGTGCAGTACCAGAATGAAGGGCATGTTATCCACATTATATTGAGATACTGACTGTACCTGACTGCTATATGATATCCCCAAGTGTAGCCAAACACCACCAGTCCTGGCTTCCCATAAGCTACTGGGCCCAGTTTATAAACTACTTGATGGCCTTTCCCAGCAGGTCCCAACCTGTCCAATGAGACTGGCAGGAGACTGGTTGGTGGTACAAGCAATGGGAGCTGTGCATTTGGCAGTGACATGGCAGGGATTTTAATGTATTTTTTCCTTTTAGTACCGGTAGTTTAATTTTTTTATACAGCATTGTACTAATTGGATGAAGGTTCGCGATTCTCTTCGTCTAGCAGTTTTTTCGTCTTGCGAAGCAACCCCATTAGCGGCTAAGAGGATTAGCACTATTAAAGCGGCTATTAAAGGATTAGCGGCTAAGCTGCTAAAAGGCTATTAGTGGCTTAGCGGCTTTGAAAAAGGGGGGGGAAGCGGGGGGGAAATGGCGAGACTCACAAGACGTTTTCGTCTTGCGAAGCAAGCCCATAGGGAAATTCGTCTTGCGAAGCGCATCGCAAACGGAAAACCCTTTCGTCTAGCGGGTTTTCCGTCTTGCGAGGCATTCGTCTTGCGGGGCACCACTGTACGTCGTTCCTCTAACTTACCACAGGGGCCATGTCCAAGTCGGGCTAATGTGTGTATTTCGCCATTTTCAATCTTTAGAATTTTTCCATCCGCTGTACCAGTGAACAACACATCTAAGAGAGACAAGTTGTAAGATAAGCTTTTTATGAATTCTGGAAACTGGAAGTACTGTATGAATTGTACATTGTTCCTTCATAAAAAAAGCTCATGACCTTTAAATATTAAAACTAAAGTCAGCCTCAAATCATGTCCACAGTAGCAGTCATCTGTGGCTCAAAGCCACATGAACACACTCCAGTCAGCATCTGGCTCATAAACAACAGGACTCCAAATACACAACCTTTTGTAGGGATAACTTAGATCCTTTATATTGAGATACAATACTTGTTCAATTTTTACTTTCTTTAATGTTGGTATCTCTTGGTATTTCTCGCCATCAGTGGATTTTTGTAGCTCTGGTGGCTCCTATTCACCCAATTAAGGTTCCAGTAGAAAGGGAAAGCATTGCTTGTTTTCATCTTCCATAATCCAAGCTAATAGATGGCTTTTTTATTTTGATGCATTTCCCATTAGTCAGAGTACAGTGGTGCCTCGCAAGACGAAAATAATCCGTTCCGCGAGTCTCTTCGTCTAGCGGTTTTTTCGTCTTGCGAAGCAACCCTATTAGCGGCTTAGCGGATTAGCGCTATTAGCGGTTTAGCGGCTATTAAAGGCTTAGCAGCTAAAAGGCTATTAGCGGCTTAGAAAAGGGGGGGGAGTGAAAAAAAATCGCAAGACTCACAAGACGTTTTCGTCTTGCAAAGCAAGCCCATAGGGAAATTCGTCTTGCAAAGCGCATCGAAAAACGGAAAACCCTTTTGTCTAGCGGGTTTTTCGTCTTGCGAGGCATTCGTCTTGCAGGGCACCACTGTAATCAGAGATTGACCAGCCTTTAACTGTAACAATGGGACAATCTTGTGCATTCATGGTTATTTTCTTATTTCTAAATTTTGACATTCTTGGTAGTGTCCTATTTTTGGTAGTATGTGTGTTTTGGTTACATTTTCTGCAATTTACATGTTTGCCGTTTATTATTTTGATTATGAACTTTGAATAAATGGCGTTGCCTGTGAATCTATAGTGATTCTTGCCATTTGCTTCCTGGAAAGTTACAGAGGCCAGTTGGGGTCAGGGGAAAAAAGACTTCTAGCCAGGATCTTGTTTCCCAGTGAGCAGCCAGATGCTTCTAGGAAGACCATAAGGACATGAAGGCAATAGCCCTGTTCCATTGTTGCTCCTCAGCAACCATTAAGACACTTATCCACTTACAAGAGCAGGGACATCCAGGCACCTTGAGTATTAGACCCTGAGCACACCAGGTGGGGACCCAAGGTACACTAGCTCTCTGGATGTAGAAGATCAGCTCTGCCTAGCTCTTTCATATATCCCCCAACACAACCGCTACAGAAACCACACTACTGTTACAACTTAGAGTGTGTCAAATCTTCTAACATAACATGCTCTTTCACTGTGTGCTTTATATAATTAAAGATTTGATTATTTCAGAAATCAATTGCATAGTTGTTTGGATCAATAACAGAAGATCAATGATTACACCAACAGTTACCAACATGACTTATGGAGTAGTTATTACTATAAAGCAAGCTTCCTCAAACTCGGCCCTCCAGATGTTTTTGGCCTACAACTCCCATGATTCCTAGCTAGCAAGACCAGTGGTCAGGGATGATGGGAATTGTAGTCTCAAAACATTCAGGAGGGCCGAGTTTGAGGAAGCCTGCAATAAAGTATTTGTGGAAAAGAACAGAGCAAGAGAAAAAGTGATTTTTTGCTAGGCTCAGAAGGTCTCGTGTTTGACTCAAGCTCCAAGCATTAAGACCCTTCACAGTTTAGCATGCAGATGTTATTGTGCTTACCGCCGATGTTTGCAATAGATTCTGGTCCAACAAGCTGATTTTCAAAGAGCCTTTCTGCTTGTCGGAGCTTGAAGTTTGGCTCTAATGCGCCAGTGAGGAGAGGAGGTTCTTTGAAGCTAGGAGAGGGGGAAAAGGAGAAGCAATTTCATCGGTGGACTGAAAGAAAAGGGCAGGCAGCCAACCAATTTTGTAAGATTCTGGATACAGATAAACCTAGTTTTCCTTTCTACCTCGGGCACTAAAAGGCAGGTGAGGCTGGACATGAGTTTCAAACACACTCTGCTCATACTGCGTATGGAAGTCTGATCAAGGTATATACTTGTGTACATAAAACGCATCAACATAAGATCCAAAATGTTACAATATCTTGATAAAAAGTTTAAACTACAGTGGTGCCTCGCAAGACGAAAAGAATCCGTTCCGCGATTCTCTTCGTCTAGCGGTTTTTTCGTCTTGCGAAGCAACCCTATTAGCGGCTTAGCGGATTACCAGTTTAGCGGCTATTAAAGGCTTAGCGGCTAAAAGGCTATTAGCGGCTTAGAAAAAGGGGGGGAGGAGCGGGGGGGGGGGGAAATCGCAAGACTAGCAAGACATTTCGTCTTGCGAAGCAAGCCCATAGGGAAATTCGTCTTGCGAAGCAACTCAAAAACGGAAAACCCTTTTGTCTAGCGGGTTTTCCGTCTTGCGAGGCATTCGTCTTGCGGGGCACCACTGTATAGTTTAACATAACATGCAAAATAAGCCAGCATCAAGCCAACACACTCGAGATGGAAAAGCCACAGAGAGCCCTGCAGATCTCTTTTAATGCAAAATAGAAAAAAAACCCGGGGGATTTGCAAGATCAACATGATGGACACATTATAAGGACATATAATGGACCACCTATTGGGGAAAATTCCACTCTTACATCTTTTATACTAGTTTCCCATTCTAGTTCGGTGTCAAACGAACAAACACCAATTGTTCAAATGGCAATGCTTTCAGTTTTAAAGCACTTTTCAACTTTGTACTCATTTCCAACGTTGAAGCATTTTAATACTGCATATTTGTAACTCAATTATTTGCACAGCTTTTCTGAAACAATTCTCCATTGCAAGGTAAAATGCTTCTTAATGAAGACTTGCTTTTATGGAACACCTTACAGATCACTTCAAAATACACACCGTGATTACTTCGGCCAATAAGCTGTAGTCATCCAGAGAAATGATCATACCACCAGGTGGTCAGTAACACTACCGAACAGCTTAGGAAAGAATCTTACCTAAATGAAATAGTAACCATTTCCCTGTTCTAGATCTGCTTAGCGCTACTTAATCATGTATTTTGCTGTCAGGATAATGTAAGTTAAATGGACCAAAGCTAAATACAACATGAAAGGTTGTATGAAATGGAGGATTCTAAGGACATAGATGTGATTACGAATGTTAAACTTGTCAATTCCTGAAACTTATCATGACAGTAAGATTTACAGGTTGAAATAACCTTATTTACTTGACATTAAGCCTCACTTATTTCAGAGGGACCTGATTCACAGTCGTATGCTTTGGACTGTAGTCTTAAAAACTTTCTTCATCTCAAAAAGATAAAGTATTTATTCTGACATATGTATGGCTCCTCATAAGAAAGTTATTATATATGCAAAGAACACAATTGAAACACAGTGGTACCTCGGGTTACATACACTTCAGGTTACATACGCTTCAGGTTACATACGCTTCAGGTTACAGACTCCGCTAACCCAGAAATAGTACCTCGCGTTAAGACTTTGCTTCAGGATGAGAACAGAAATTGTGCTCCGGCGGCGCGGCAGCAGCCAGGAGGCCCCATTAGCTAAAGTGGTGCTTCAGGTTAAGAACAGTTTCAGGTTAAGAACAGACCTCCGGAATGAATTAAGTACTTAACCCGAGGTACCA